GGGGGGGGCGCGGAGGTTGCGCAACGCGGCCAATGGCGGGTCCCCTCCGCTGCTCCCCCCCCCCGCCCGCCCCTCCGGGGCCGCGCCGGGGCCGCGGGGGGGAGGGACTCGCGGAGCCCCTGGGCCCGCCCGCTCGCCCGCCTGCCTGCCTGGGAGGGCCGGGGGCCGAAAGGCGGCGCGGCCCGAGGCAGCCTGCGCAGCATTGCCGCATCCCGGCCGGCAAAGTCAAACTTTGTGTCGCGTCATCCAGGCGGCGCTGGCGGAAAAGCCGGAGCAGCGCCCGGACGCCCCTCGAAGGGCCGCTTTACACGCCCCCCGGCGGGCCGCCCAGCCCGGAGCTCTGCCCCGGCCGAGACTTGGCCCCACGACGCCCCGCTCGGCAACCGCCGCCGGGCCCGCCCTCCGCCCTCCTCCCTCTCGGCGGGGTCCCCGGGCGGGGCGGGTGCGGGGGGCGCGGGCCCCTCTCGGCCAATGAGCGGGGCGCTAGGACCCGGGGGCAGCGCGGCCCCAACTGCAGCGCCGCGGCTGCCTTATAAATGGCCCGCAAATGCGGCGGAGGCTCTTTCCTGCCGCCGCCGCCGCCGCCGCCGCCGCCTCGCCCCGCGCCCCGCCCGCCCGCCGCCCGTTTGATGAATTGCTCGCCTCCCGAGATGGTTTGCGAGACCGCGATCGTGGCCGAGGAGCGGCAGTCGCTCGGGGCCGCCGGCAAGGAGGGACGCCGGCTGCCCCCCGCCGCCGCCCCCGCCGCCGCCCCCGCCGCCGCTGCCGCGCAGATGTGGCCGCCCGGGCCCGCCGCCTCGCCGCCCGGGGCCTCGGCCGGAGGGGGGGAGCGGCCGTCGGGGGCGGCGGGGCTCTCCATCCGGCCCTTCCACCCGGCGGAGGGCGAGGCGGCGCGGCGCATCTTCTACGAGGGCATCCTGGAGCGCATCCCCAACACCGCCTTCCGCGGCCTCAAGGACCAGCCGCTGGCCCAGCTGCTCTACGCCGCCATGGCCGGTGAGTGGCCGGCGGGGACCGCGGGGAGCGGGGGAGCGGGAGCTGCCGGCGCCCGGCTCCCTCGGGGAAGCGCCCAAGGCCACGCGCTGGGCTGCCGCCGGGGCCGCCTCGGCCGCTGGGCGAGCCCGGGAAGCCCCGCCGAGCCGCCGGTGGCCTGGGGAGCCGCCGGCGGGGCCGCCTCTGCAGCCCAGGCTCCCGCCGAGGCCCCGGGGCAGCGGGAGCGCCCTTCGCATTGCAGCGGGCGCGCTCCGGAGCGTCGGCCGGGCCGGGCGGGGGCTGGGAGGCGGAGCCGGCCGGCCGGCGGGGCGCCACGTGCTGGCCGAGGAGGCCGCTGGAGCGGCGGGGCCCCGGGGGGCGAGCGGGGCTTTCGGGCCTTCCCCGAGGAGAGGCGGGCGAGGAGCCGCTGCGCTCAGCACCCTGGACAGCGGCCGGGCGGCGCCTGCAGGCGCTCCATCTGCCCGATTGGCCGTCGGGTGGCTGCACCTCAGCCGCCCGTCGGGGCATCCCCGGGACCGGCTGGGAATTCTGGGCCTTGAAGTCCAACCCCTGGGGAAGTGGCCGGGCTCTGCAGCCTCCAGGGCGAGGCTTCATGGGCAGGGACAGGTGGTTCATGGTTACCAATTGTATGTGGCTGGTAGGCTTTGTTGATTCAGGGCATCACCTGTGTGCTACTTCAGGGCCGCATGGACATTTCGCTAAAGTCTTTGAACTTCAAAAAGCCCAGAAGGTGATTTCGTTTGGTTTTATTACTTTATTTACTATTTTATTACCTTAATCTTACCATTCAGGACAATGTTCAGTGTGTTCTGCAAACGAGTAACAAATAAATTACATAGGGGTATGTAGAAGAGTTTTGGCACATGTCTTACATTTCAAGAAAAGGAAAAGAAATGAAAAATGAACTTTTTTACTTTCATTTCCTTAAGCAACAAAGCTTGCAAACTGACAAGGGAAGGAATCCCTTGAGAAGGGCATGTAGTATTCCAGGGAGTTTGTTCTGAAGTAAATGATATTTGAAGGAGGCAGCCAGAACTCTCCAATATTGCCCTGAATTCTTTTTGTAACCTTAGCACAAGGGACTGAACTGTTTAAAGGACTTGGTGATATAGCCTATTACAGTTTTCAGAAGGTTTTATGAAGCGTGTTAAGATGGATTCCACCAGGGAAGGAAGGAAGGAAGGAGCCAAAGCTCCACGAAGCTTCCATGCAACGGCTTTGGAGCTCTCCTCAGCTCTTCTGGGGAAATCACTTCCCCCCCGTGCTAATCCTACGAAAGGTCCGGGCATGTCCAGAAGATGTTTGCGTTGGTGATCAAAAGAGCCACGTGGAGCCTTCATGCTTTTGGTTGTAGCCGTAGGAAGTGAAGCCTACCGTGGGGCCAAGGATAAAAATCACTAAGCAACAGATCTGCTTATCAGCCAGAATCCAAGTTTTCTTTTTCATCACTAACATAGACGCCCTAGTTGGGATGGTCACTAAATTAAATGGTTTTAAAGGGTCTTGGACAAAGAGGTTGATCGGAGGCAGAATTCATGGATGAGCAGGATAAAGGAAAAAAATTCTCTATTTCCAATAAGTGTCTTGGAGTTCAGTGTCATTTCACACTGCTCCTGTGAGAAATTATGTTTGGGAAGGTTTTTGTTGGAAGAGGGACAGGTTTTCTGGCTCGTTTTCACCTCAGGGTTCTTGAGAAGGGTGTTCTTGGATTTTCCCTCGGCAGAGTCTCTGTTTTGATGGTCGGCTCTGCCTTCCTTCCTCCTCTTCAAATCAACCGGCAAGCCAAGCAACTATGAGGCACCCCACAGGCTGTTTGGCTAAGAAGGTCTCATGAAGTTTCGGCTACAGCTGCTGCGTGGCCACTCTAATTCGGAGCTGGACTTTCACTAATCAGTTTGCAAGGAAGGCATTTCATTAATGCTTTTATCTCCTCCTCCTCAGGATTTCTAAATACTGTCCTGGAGACTTCAGGTGGAATAGGACAACATTTTCTCTTTTTGATTTGAATGGAACATTGTCCTGTTGTGGCTGCTTGAATTTTGTGGTTCTGCTATTGCCATTTCAACTACCGTAAACCACCTGGAGTATATGGAAGCAGGTAGCAAACAAGCCCCTTGTAATAAATGATTATACAAATAATTTCCCCCTGAATTAGTCCACCTTGCAGTGTTCCTCACAAGCAGATGCTTCTGCTTTACACGGCGCCCCTTTTCTTTACAAAATTTAACCTGATCAGGCGAGATAGAAAGGGGCTCGACAGCCACTAAAGAGACAGGCTTAAAAACTAATCAGGGATAAATTTAACATTATAAAGCTGAATGAACCAACCTTTGGAAGTTCACTGAATTTTTGTCATGGCAAACGGAGCAAGTTTAATAATGAATCTGCCCAAATGTGGCTTGCAGCTTATTTAACCAGCTACTGTGTGGCAATGATGCAGCAGAATGAGCACATGGTGTCTGTCTAGGCTTGGTTGTTAAAAAGGATGTTGGCGTATAACGGCCGGTTTTGCAGAGTTTATTGCAAGGAAAATAACCAGGGTTCCTTCTGATGGATGTTTGCAATGGGCTGCATGGTTGGCAGTTTCAGAATTTTATTTTGATCAGTTTCTTAATACCAAATATCATTGGTGCCAACTTTCTCCACCGTCTGCATGTATATATGCCTGTTTTGATAGTCAAGGAATGATTGAGGCTTTTTAGAAAAGGAACTCCCAATGAGCATTGGCATTTTTGAAAGGGCGGGGATGTATTATACAGACATACGTAGAAGCAGTGAGAAATGCAGACAAGCATGATGCAGTGAAAAAAAAGCTGAAGAATACGTAAATGAAGATTACAGGGGGGAAAAAGGTTTTCTGCATTACCAGGAAAAATAGGATTTTTGAGTGAAACAGAAGACAATGAGACCAATCGATTTAGAGAGGGAAGTTTTAGTTTTGCTACTGTAGCGTGATGACGTACCAGTTTCAAATATTTTAATGACTTTGGGTTTTTTGACTGTAAATCGAATACTTTAACGCAGCTGGCTGAGGAATTCTGGGAGTTGAAGTCCATTAAAGTTACTGAGGTTGAGAAACTCTTCTTTAAGATTATTTTGATTTAAGGAATATTTTGCTTTTAGGCAGAGTTTAAAATTTTTAAAAAAATGCCTTGGTTACTTAGTTTACTGTAAGGGGAATAAGAAAGGAGGAGAACGAATGAAGCCAAAAACCCATATTATCCAACATTTTGTGTTACCAATGGCCAGTCAGATACATTTAGGGGGCAAAGTTCATTTATTGGTTTAGATTGTCCTGCAGGAGCTCAAGATGGTAAAATCTATTTTTTAAAAATTCACATACCAGTTCTGTGAAGTAGTTGAGGCTGAGATCTTGCGATTTATCTGAAATCATCCAGTCGGTCTCCATTGGTGACCCAGTTTCAATCTGGATTTCGTAGCCAGCTCTTTAGCCACTATGCCTGACTGCCTCTTTCACGGGATCCTGGTTGTGATTCAGGCCCTGACATCTGAAAGCTCCAGAAATTTAACCAGTTACAGGTAATCCTTGACTTACAAAAGTTGCAACGGCCCTGAAAAAGGTGACCTAGGACCAGTTTTCACTCTTACGGCCGTTGCAGCCTCCCCCTCGGCCAGGTGATCAAAATCCAGGTGCTTGGCAACTGACTCGTATTTACGATGATGGCAGAGTTCCTGGGGTCAGGTGATCCTCTTTTGCGACCGTCCGACGAGCCAAGTCCTGGGGGAAGCCCGACTCATTTAACGACCGTGTGACTAACATAGCAACTGCAGTCGTTCACCTAACAATTGTCTCACTTAGTAACATAAATTTTGGACTCAGTTGTGGTGATAAGTCGAGGATTGCCTGCACTTGGCATCTAGTGTGTGGCCTCTGGTGGCATTTAACAGTATTTTGGGTAAGGAAATTCGCCTTTTCATCAGTCCGGAATCTGGCCGGGTTTCCCTTTAACGGATGGCGTTGAGTTGAGCCGAGCGGGAGAGAAAGAGAAGGAGTCCAGTCTGGCCCTTCGGAGCTCTCGATGCTGCCGGCCTTTGGACCACGCCCGTCCCTCAGGCCTCCCATCGCTTGCTTGGTCGAAATGCTCCGAGGGCTGAAGGATGAGCCGGCCCTGGTCCCACGATCTGCTTCCCCCTTGGGGGGTGGAGATGGCGGGGCTGCCGGCAAGGGCTGTGGGCTGTGTTTCGCTGCCCCTTGCGCACTTTGCCTGCAATGCCACAACTCGAGCATGAAAGGACACCCAGCTTGACTGAAGTTTCAGTGCTTTGGCCAAGAATGAAAGCTCTCCTGCTTTCCTCAGGCCCGGGCCTCCCAAGCCTGCCCTCCCCGTGGCTGGAGGTGGGTTGGGCTGGCATAAGATGGAGGCCTCAGAGCTTGAGGGGGAAAACGGCCCCCATCAAAGCAGCCTGGAGTCCACATTTGCTGTTTCTCAGCTGAGGTGGACCTGTGAACCTGGTCCTGATCTCCGTCGTTGCTCTGTAACTGATCCCTTTATTCAGTGGTTCTGCTTCTGCTATTTTAAAGTCCGAGCTGAATTGGGCTTGTGGATTCTTTCTGTTGACCGGGTTGCATCCGGTTCTCCTTTTTTTTCTGTTTGGGTCTTTTTCTGGAAGAAAATCTGCTTTCTTGCTCTGATCTTCTCTCTTTCCGTGCCAGTAAAGATGCCCAGATTCCTCTCTTCCATCTTGCAGTTTGTTGCTCTGTAGACCCAGTTGAGTTAAGGAAGCCGCCACTCCCAGCCGTGTCCAGCCAGCCTCGGGATTCCTGATGGGAACCTATTGAGGCCGCCTGGGGCGCTACAGTGCCCGTCAGAGCAGGCTGGGCCAGCTTTGGGATTAAGGGGTAGCCCACCTTGTCAAGACTGGCCCTTAGACCGTGGTTGGTAGGTGGAGATGCTGGGGACCTCCAGGTAGTAACTAAAACTCAGCTGGAATGAGGGACAATGAGCCATTGCCAGGATAGTCTGACTGCCGATCAATTTTTT